CTCCAGAGAATTCAGAACAGTATTAGAAACTCAGATATATAATCGAATCGCCAAATGGCATAACTTAGGATATGGTCGACACAATGAAATGTCTAGGTGCCATCCCACACCCCCATGAAGTTGTTGTTGTTGTTGTTCATTTCATTTCTATACCACTTTATATTTTATAGAAGAAATCTCAAAGCTGCTTACAATACTTTAAAACATCAAGTAAAACAATCCAGAATAAAACAAATTCAAGTTTCAAGGAAAATATTTCAGAACCTTCCCTAAGTGACATTTTGCTTTCCCCAGTCAGCAACATGGCATCCAGAGATCTCCGTGCGGTCGCAATTGGATCTGTGCCAATAGCAAAATGTGAATAGCTAATTTCTGACAGTGGTTCAGAACAACACTGTAGCCTAACAATCCTCTGAGACAGGTAGGCAAAATAAGAATAGGAAGCATGAAGTATGAACTCCCAAGATTCAGCTCCATCATTCGAGACTACGGTCATCAGCAAAAAAGATTCAAAAGCTGGGATCCAAAAACAACAAACAGGATGATTTCAATCAGCAACTTGCTAACCACACTAATTTGTATCTTTTATACAGTGGTGAACTGCTTTGGAAACCGATATTTCAGTACAAGCGTCATCAACATGGACACAAGAACTTTTTGTTGTTGTTGTTGTTAATGGTGTTTTACAGAATCAAGAGACAAGTCTCTGCCTCAAGGAGCTTAAACTGAAATACCTAATTTTAGGCATGTTCATGAACTTGCAAAACACCCAGAGGAATTTCTGCCTTTTACCTTTGTAGAAAAAATGAACATGTTTATCACAATTTGCTTTAGAATATGAAGTAACAGTTGATAAACATGGCTTGCTATTTCAAAGGGTTGAAGGCCAAAATTCCACTAGGGGCATGCAAGCCCCTGAGCAGGCTTAACGTAAGGATTTGCAATTGTATCATAAGTGTTTTAAATGGTATGCTGGGACCTGTTCTGTTCTATAAAGTGCCCGTTAAACTAGTTACAGTATATAAATACTAGTAATAAATGCTAATAAATTACAACCAAAGAGACAGCGGTGTGCAAAGACATGAGACTTTAGTCTTCACTTGGAATGTTATTACTGTACAACCAGGTTTAGGGGGAATAAATCAACACAATGAGATTTCAGAAGTAGGCAGCTAAGCAAGAACATGGTAATCTGGATAGCCCATGAATAAAAACTGGCCTTCAAATAGCAAACGGGAAGAAAAATACTATTTATCTGATTCTATAGATTGCTCCTATAGCCCTATGAATAATTGAAAATAATTTATGTAAGTACAGTGGTACCTCGGTTTAAGAACGGTTTCGGTTTAAGAACAGACTTCCGGGACAGATTAAGTTCGTAAACCGAACTTAATACTGATTTTTTTTATTGCTACATTTATATTGCACATTTCTTGCAAACAGCCCAAGGTGGCATACATGGTTCTCCTCTTTATTTCATGCTCAAAACAACAACCCTGTGAGGTCTATTAGGTTGCAAGATAGTGACTAGCCCAAAGCCACCTAGACCGCTCCATGGGTGGAGTCAAATACTCTAACCATTACACCAGTTTTCTGGAAATCTTTCTGTTTGCACTGGGAAATTTTCTGATGCCATAGAAAGTGATCTAGTTTAGTATGTTTATTTTTCTTCCATTTAGTAAACAAAGATAAAAGCACTCCAAAAATTTTTTTGTCCTACAAAGCACACTTGAAGTGGCTTAAATGATATATTATGTAGACATTTCTTTTGGAATACTTGTACAATTTAATGACAGTAGCATATAGTCACCTTACATTTTCTAAATTTACGGCAAAAGGGTATTGAAAATGGTCAACATGTTGTTTCGATTCACTTGCACCTGCCACTTACAAATGCATGTATTCTCTCTCACACTTGATAGGGATAATCTTATGAAAAACATTAACTACAACTATCAAACTGCTGAGCTTGCCTAATATTGTATTTGCAACTGGCATCCATTCATTGTTACTAATGAACTTATGAAAGTATTAAATTTCCACGGAAAAGTGAACCACTGGAAAAAGTTCACTGTTTTTGAAGATGTCCACCTGACATCACTGGTTTAGCACATGATTGCTGCATTCAAACTAAAAAGTTTCATTTTCAGAACATAATGTTTCACATTTTCTACTTTCTTCTTCCATAGCTTTCTTCAAGGAGAAAACAGAACCCTATACGTTCCTTTGATAAGATGTCTAAAACATTTAATTATTACTAAAACCAAAAAGGCCTCTCATACAAAATGCCTGTATCAAAGATTACCATGCATAGCAAAAACTACAACAAAAACCTTTAACATCAATTTCTTAACATAGAAATCTGAGCACTGCCAGCTAAGATACTGTTTTTGATTCAAGCACTTTTTAAGGCTATTCATGCTCTAGCCAACTTGCTAAAATAAAGTATTTCTTGACTTTTGTACTGCCTTTCAAAATATTTACAGCTGGATCTGAAATATACTAGATGTTTCTCAACAGAGCTTACTGTCATTCATTCAGTATGACATTATTCTTTTAATCAAAAGGGAGAATCTAAATGGCTTCAGAAAGCCAAACAAAATATACTGGTTTCCTTGTTGACCATTTCATTTCAAGATCTCTGTCCTACTTCCAAACTGCACACCCCTTTCCCCATATTTTACAATTGTGATAACTGGTGCCACAGAAATTTAATGACTCAGAGACTGGGTCATCTTGAAAATTAGGTCCCATGAGTAGCATTTGGTTGTAAACAAGGGAAGGCATGAGTGGTCATTTACAGCTCTACTGAGGAGCCAGACTCCTTCCTTCAGCAACTGTCACCTGGCAGCAGCCATTATATCCAGTTGCAGTAATGGAGGAAAGAGGAGAGAGGTAGGGCCGTACCACCAATGCACCAAGATTTTGCTGCTTCTTACCTTAAACTTTTTCACCTCAACTCGTGAGTAGAGAAAAACAAATAACTTGTAGACAAGTTTGCTTATTACCTCCTCCATCCCTATCCATTTTACTTCTGTGTTGTGTCTGTTTAAAGTATAAGCATGAGAGTAGGGGCTTTCTTCTTTTTCTTCTTCAATAAAGTGATCTAAAAGCCACCCTTGAACTCTTTTTTGGCTGAAGCGAACAAACAAATATTACACCGAATATGAATCTTAATACAGTATAGACCAGACTGTTGAGGAAAGATGAACTAATGTTTTAATTATGTATTAGGGCACTGAATCTCAGACAGAAGAGTCATAGAAACGATAAAGTTCAAGCAATTAAGATGTGGTAATAACTTCATCAGGCTATGAAATGAAACCACAAAGCTTCATTTGCCAATATTAATTAGCACACCACTTAATTTGTATATAGTCAGAAGGTCTCTGTTTTCTCCTTTTGAAATGAAAAGCTTGCATCAATATATGGCACAGGTGCATGTGTACAAGATTTGGGCTTTAGTTGATCTAAGGGGATACTTAAAAATAGGTCTGTAGGGCTTGTTACTGCAAACTGATCCTCAAGTAGAGTGTTTGATTTTTCACTGGCAATTCAACCCATCGTGTTACTACTGAGTAGGAAACTGGCATTTCAATATAATACAGCAGGTACCAGATATTATTATTTATTATTATTATTATTATTATTATTATTATTATTATCAGCATCTACATGCCTATGTTCATTAACATGGTCTTGTATGATTTAGTCAGGCACCCAACTCACAGGTGAAAATGCAAACTTTGTAAACTATCCAAATAAACTTAACTGTGATTACATATTATTTAATATCAAGTGAATGGCTAAAAAAACTTTATCCCTTCTCTTTCAGGCTTCCCACAGGCATCTGGCTGGCCACTGGGAGAACAAGGTGCTGGACTAGTTAGGCCAGTGGCCTGATCCAGCACGCTCTTCTTAAGAGCTGTTTCTATTACACTATCTCATATCAGCACCTACGCTTACATTAAACACACAAGAAGCTTCACTACTTTGAAAACATTTTCCAACCAAAACTCACTACCAACCAGAACACTGCTGTAACTCCTCACTTTCTACATCAAAATTCCCAGTTTTCCTAGCTAAAACCAGTTTTCCTTGCAAACTACATGCACCTCAAAAGGGTGTTGACACAATGATGACAAAATAATTTTTTCCTCCCAAAATCTCATGAGGCAGTGAATGAAAATGAACGCATCCAGAATTCATTTGTCCTGTAAACGGAGAGCTGGAAGGGCTCCTATAGAACAGCTTTGTTTAAGGGTAAATACATTCACCTTACAGCACAAGCGTTCCTGGAATACCAAAATGATCAATACTGCTTTAGCTAACAGCGCTTCTGAAAATAAAAAAAGCAAATCAACAGAACAAGAAGTCCATCCTTCTTATTTTATTGCTCTTCCTCGAAGAGCACGGCAGCCAACTTTTTAAAGGTATCCAGCAGTCCACCCACACATACTTCCAGAGACACCTTTTTGTGCTTCCTGTCAAGAGGGCAGGTTACATTAAAGCCTTCCAAGGCAAAAAGAAGAAGAAAAAAGGTCTTGCTGCCCCCTCCCCGCTTCCATTTGCTTTTATCTTATTCAAAGTGAAGACCCACAGCACTTAAGAGAGACCTGTGTAACCTGCCCTATACTCCTGAGCCCGGCAAGGACACCTCCATTGCTCTCCAAACCACGCAAAGTTACCTCCCTCACACCAACCCACCTACCCAAAAATGCTACAAGGGGTGGGGGACCCTTTAACGGATTTCTCCTCCCCGCTTTTTTTTTTTAAAGGAAGCGAGGGAAACGTGTTTGTTGACAGCTCCCGCGCGGCGGAGGCGGTTACGCCAGTCAGGCAGCCTCTCGGCGAGGGTGAGCCCAGCCAGAGAGGGCCGGGCGCCCCTTCATGCCACCCCGCCAGCCCCGAGCGCCCCTCCTCAGGCCGCGCCGCCTCCCTCAGCGCGGCGCCGGCAGCCCCTTCCGAGCGGCGGCGCCCTCCCCTTCCCGTCCCTTTACCTTGCGGACCCCCTTGTAGATGTAGAAGTAGAGCTCCCGGCCCACATTGAAGCAGAGCCGGTCGCCGTTGCCGCTCTGGTCGTTGACGTTGACGAAGGAGACGCGGACGGGGTTGGAGCCCTGCGAGTTGAAGGGCACCCTGTTGGGCCGGCTGTACTCCGAGTGGCTCAGCAGCTTGTACAGCCCCTCGCGGGTGGTAAACTGGGTCTTAATCTCGTTCATCTCCTTCCCTCCTCCCTCCGCCGCCATCTTGGAAAGGAGCATTCATCCTGCCCCAGTGCCCGGATGTTGAGGCCAGCGCGCAGGCGCCGCCGCCGCCGCCGAGAAAGGGGGAAAGCTCGCTTCCCCTGCCCGAAAGCAAAAGGGAGGGAAGCCCGTGGAACGTTCACGCCGCGATGTGGGCGGGGCCTCGGGCCTTTCCCTCCCCACCCCTTGTTTACCGAGGCGCTGCGCGTGCGCCGGCTGCGCCCCTTTGGGGATGCGGAGGGGAGGGGCGAGGCAAAGCTTTCAGGTGGTAGGAAGGGGGGGGAGAAGAGGGAGGAGCCTCCGGAGCGGAAGGGGGCGGAGAATGAGAGATGAGGAAGAAGCGAGGAGGGCAAAGGCTGGCTGGAGGCGTGCAAGGAGATAGGAAAGGGGCGGGGCGGCTGCTGCTAATTAAAGGGCAGGTGCCCTGCTGTTGTGTTTTTTTGAAATGGTTCGTATGACTTTCGTAGATTTTATATATGGATATAGTTTAAATGATATCAATGTCTATTTTTTAAAAAATAATTTCCCCCCTATCTTTTGAGGGGATTCTTGTTTTCTCTCTCTCTCTTAAGCCACCACTAGTCCCATAATGCTCCTGCCAACCTAGCAGTTCTAAAGCACGTCAAAGTGCAAGTAGATCAATAGGTACCGCTCTGGCGGGAAGGTAAACGGCGTTTCCGTGCGCTGCTCTGGTTCGCCAGAAGCCGCTTAGTCATGCTGGCCACATGACCCGGAAGCTGTACGCCGGCTCCCTTGGCCAGTAAAGCGAGATGAGCGCCGCAACCCCAGAGTCGGTCACGACTAGACCTAATAGTCAGGGGTTCCTTTACCTTTAGTCCCATAATAATAATAATAATAATAATTTTATTTATACCCCACCCTTCCCGGTTCAAAAACCGGGCTCAGGGCGGCTAACAACAAATTTAAAACACTTAATTATAAAAGCAGCATAAAATACAGTATAAAAACATGAATAACAATAAAATTCAAAGTTCAGAAATCTATTTAGGGGAAATCCATCTAATAAGCATTAGATAATCACCAGGGCTAGCTGGCTGAATTAGTCCTACTTGGGCCAGCAAGGACATCAGGGGAGAATTAGCTGTGGGGTCTCAGAGCGGGTAATCTTCATAAAAGGGGAGGGGGAGGGAAGAGAAGGGAAATAAAAGATCAGGTTGAATTCAAATTAAAGGCTAGGTGGAATAACTCTGTCTTACAGGCCTGATGGAAGGAGGTTAAATCTTGAAGGGCCCTAGTCTCATGGGACAGAGCATTCCACCAGGTAGGAGCCATCACTGAAAAGGCCCTGGCCCTGGTGGAGGATAGTCTTCCTTAGGGCCCGGGACCTCTAAACTATGGTTATTCATGGACCTTAAGGTCCTCTGTGGGGCATACCAGGAGAGGCGGTCCGGTAAATACAAGGGTCCTAAGCCACAAAGGGCTTAGGCGAAAAGGGAAAAGGCTTAAGGGGAAAAGGCGGAGTGTTTGTAAATAGATCATGATAATCTAGGGAAAAGCGCTCTGCACATGCTCTTCATTGCTTAAGGAATGAGTATGGTAGGCTTTTGTTTCTTCACTGTGTGGTTTGTAATGTTGCTTCCAGCTATTGGGGAGCTATTGGGGGGGGGGGCGCTAATTATATTAGAGGCTGCATCCACAGAAGTATAGTGTCTAGATCAAGGGTAGTCATAAAAGGTAAAGGGACCTCTGGCCATTAGGTCCAGTCGTGGCCGACTCTGGGGTTGCGGTGCTCATCTCGCTTTATTGGCCGAGGGAGCCAGTGTACAGCTTTTGGGTCATGTGGCCAGCATGACTAAGCCACTTCTAGCGAACCAGAGCAGCGCATGGAAATGCCGTTTACCTTCCTGCCGAAGCGGTACCTATTTATCTACTTGCACTTTGACATGCTTTTGAACTGCTAGGTTGACAGGAGCAGGGACCGAGCAACGGGAGTTCACCCTGTGCGGGGATTCGAACCGCCGACCTTCTGATCGGCAAGCCCTAGTCTCTGTGGTTTAACCCACAGCGCCACCCGCATCCCCTAAGGGTAGTCATAGTGCTGCTCTATTCTGCCTTGGTCAGGCCACACCTGGAGTATTGTGTCCAGTTCTGGGTTCCACAATTTAAGAAAGAAGTTAACAAGCTGGAACATGTGCAGATGAGGGTGACCCTGATCATAAAGAATCTGGAACGGTTAAAGGAGCTAGGTATGTTTAGCCTGGAAAAGAGGAGACTGAGAGCAGACATGACTGACATCTTCAAATAGCTAAGGGCGGTCACATGGAGGATGGAGCAAGCTTGTTTTCTCCTGCTCTAGAGGGTAGAACCCAAACCAATGGATTCAAGTTGCAATAAAGGAGGTTCTGACTATACAGCAGGAGGAACTTTCTTACGGTGAGAGCTGTTCAACAGTGGAGTGGGCTCTCTTGGAAGGTGGTGAACTCTCCTTCATTGGAGGTTTTTAAGCAGAGGTTTCAATGGCCATTTGTCTTGGAGGTTTTAGTTGAGATTCCTGCATAGAAGAGGATTGGACTAGACCTGGCATCCCCACCCTTCGGCCCTCCAGATGTTTTGGACTACAATTCCCATCATCCCTGACCACTGGTCCTGTTAGCTAGGGTTCATGGGAGTTGTAGACCAAAACATCTGGAGGGCTGCAGGTTGGGGGTGCCTGAACTTGACCATTGTGGTCCCTATAAACGCTACAATTCTATACTTTACGTGGTTCTTCTTCCACCCTTTTTTAAATAGCAAGATTCTGTGTGTGTGTGTGTGTGAGAGAGAGAGAGAGAGAGAGAGAGGGAGAGAGTGTGTCAGTCTCCAGAAAAAAGTGAGCAGGCTCCATCCTTCAGCCCAAAATGATATTGACCCCTTTGAGGGCTGATAGGAATGTGCAGGGGGTGGATAAAGATCTGGGGGCAGGAAAAGGGGTGGGGGAGGTTTACAAGTTATAGTGCAAAATAATAATAATAATACCAGGATCTGTAAGCCTCAGAAATAAGAAGAATGGGCATGTACAATTCCACTGAGGAACCTCTGTTGTTTAATAAAATGATTTCACAATCCACTGGATGTAAATTCTTACAGCTTACCTCTGTGTTTCGGTCTTGAAAGGCTGATCTTTCTACTCTACAAATACTGTCCACTCACCTTCCCTTGTATGTTTTACCTTTTGAGTTTGTAAGCCTGATGTCAGGGCCTATGCTTTTTATCTCTTTGGTTTTTTTTTTTCATTTATGTGATCTGTTTTTGGAGATAATAGTCTAGAAAACAGGACAAAAATATAGGAAATAAATAGTGTCCTGAGTTTGGATGGTGCTTGGAATATTTCTAAGTCTGAATAGCTGTGGACATTTATATTATTATTATCTTGCAATAGCCTCCATTGTAGCTGCTGACTTGTGATTTCTGAAATGGGTACAAAGGTCTGTGGTGGTATTTGCAACATACTGCATGTCACATTCCGAGCCATTTGCTTTTTAGAATATCTATTCCGTGGCTGGACTTACAGATAATACAATGTACTCTATCTGCAACGGCAATGAAAATTATCTCAAAAGAACCAATTCCAAAAAAGCCAAAGAAAAACCACCTGTAAGCTTCCTTTCATAGCTTTTCATGAACCTTCAAACCAATGCAAATTATTTTTGAAAGCTGGGCTAAATCACTGTGAATCCAGTTGTGATATGATCTGCGCTTATCTCAAGGAAACTGTCACTTTCAAGACCTAGTACATAAAGCACAATATCACCTTCATAGCTGCAAGTCTAGCTATGTAATAAAGGTTACAGAATGTGAGTGCCTGGAATGCCGCATACAGCATGTTCGTGGCGGTGAGGGGGGCCAGACTTGTGTTCGTGCTTGTTTTTAAAATTACAAGTAAGACTGCAATCCTAACCCCGCTTACCTGGGTGAAATACAGTTTCTAATTTGCAGTTCTGTAGGAGGGAAGCAGCTTCTATAGCAGGCATAGGCAAACTCGGCCCTCCAGATGTTTTGGGACTACGACTCCCATCATTCCTAGCTAACGGGACCAGTGGTCAGGGATGATGGGAGTTGTAGTCCCAAAACATCTGGGGGGGGCGAGTTTGCCTGTGCCTGTTCTATAGCCAGCAGTTTGTGGTAACAAAGAAAGGCATGATGGACATCAAAGTATATAAAATACACATGTAAAGATAAGTTTCTGCTAGTATAGATAGAATCATAGATTTGTAGGATTAGAAGGGACCACAAGTCTCATGCTCTGCTGACTGAGCTATGAAATGGACGCTTGTCTGTGAAAGTTTATGCCTTGATAAAATTGCTAGGTCTGTAAGGTGCTACAAAATTCATTGCTGTTTTTGCTGCAACAGACTAATACAACTAACCTCCTAGAAGTTCCTGAGGTTGTTGTCCTGTGCACAACCCTATGTTGTTCAACGCTGCTGCACATAGTGTATTAACAAGCATATGATTGCACAGCAACCTTGTTACAATCTGAAACCGGCAATCCTAAGTAGCAATAGACCTTGAAAGTACTGTATTTGTTTCACTAATTTCCCATAGGAAGAGAAACTATCCAAGCAGGCATAGCCTGGTAGCAAAAATATAAGCTAGGCCCCTTGCAACTGTGGCATCACAGCAGCACATTCCAGTGTTCCAAGGTACAGATTCCGTATCACATTTTACAGCATGCATATAATAGATTATCCAAATAATAATAACTTTATAAAATGTATCTAAATAGCAAAGAATAAATGTTAATAGAATAAAATGTCAATAGAAAAACCAGGAATGCTATAATGTTTCTGATGTAGCATGAACATTTGCACATATTATTAGAATCTGAATGTATTACTTTAGCTCCCTCTGGTGAATTTGGTTCATGTTGCAAGACAGGAGAATTTACTCCCTCCTTCCGTTAACAAGAGAGACTTCTGTTAACAAGAGAGACCCAATGCCTAGTTCCCTTACTGCAGCTTACCTCCCACTTTCTTCTGGTTTATACATGCAACAGCTGAGTGGTCTATATTTACTGCAGACTGTAGATGTGTGTGGTGGAGGCGGGGGGAAACTATTTTATTATTGAACTCAGTGGGATTTCTGAGTTATTAAAACCATGCTGCAGAAGAGATACAATAAGAACTTCCAGCCCAGAGCCCAGAATGCTTGTTGCACTTTGCTGGTTGGTACAGTTAGTGATGTGAGGTGAGAATATTCTCTGCTAGAAAATTCTCTGGAGAATATTCTCCACAAAATGTAAATTCTTTGTCATCTGTTGTTGTGGTTCAGTCGTTTAGTCATGTCCGATTCTTCGTGACCCCATGGACCAAAGCACACCATGCACTCCTGTCTTCCACTGCCTCCTGCAGTTTGGTCAGACTCATGTTTGTGGCTTCGAGAACACTGTCCAACCCTCTCGTCCTCTGTCGTCCCCTTCTCCTTGTGCACTCCATCTTTCCCAACATCAGGGTCTTTTCCAGGGAGTCTTCTTTTCTCACGAGGTGGCCAAAGTATTGGAGCCTCAGCTTCATGATCTGTCCTTCCAGTGAGCACTGGAAGGGCTTATTACCTTAAGAATGGATAGGTTTGTTCTTCTTGCAGTCCATGGGACTCTCAAGAGTCTCAATCCAGCACCATAATTCAAAAGCATTAATTCTTTGGCAATCAGCCTTCTTTATGGTCCAGCTCTCACTTCCATACATCACTACTGGGAAAACCATAGCTTTAACTATACAGACCTGTGTCCGTCTACACAGCTGCTTTAAATGTACACACCTCATTAATTGAGAATATTCTCAATAATATTCTCCAAAAGATTATTCTCAAGAACTTAACATCACTAGCTGTGCCATAAATAGTCTTTAATGCTTTTGGAGAACAATGTTCCTGAACAGCCTTTGCTCCATGCAAAAGCTGCATATCGTGATATAGTCCATTAAAGCACAGTCTCTAACATTTCATAGACACAAAGGCTTGTAACACCTGCTAGTGTTTTACCAAATCAACTGCCCAAGCTCAACCCATTTTATTTTTTTCACATCCATTGCCATACCTCCATGAGCAGTTAGATATGCATATTCCTTGGCTCTTCCCATGTCTGCTTTAAATTATGATGTTATGTCCCCATTTTTGTATACTGTACCTAGTGATGTTAAATTCTCAAGAATAATCTTTTGGAGAATAGTCCCGAGAACATTCTCGATTAATGAGGTGTGTACATTTAACACAGCTATGTAGACGACACAGAATTTACAGTTTGTGGAGAATATTCTCCGGAGAATTTTCTAGCAGAGAATATCCTCACCTCACATCACTAGACACAGCCACTCTCTTCTTATAGTACTCTGCCATCGAACAATGGTTGGAATCCTGAGCGGTTCTTCTTATCCCAAGTTGCGTCCCTCCTAATCCCTTTGACAGCAGAAAAAGGAAGTCCATCGTGCTGTGTGCCCACAGGGTGTTCATCATGGATTCCTTTGAAGGGTTCATGCCTAAATATCTGAGTATACTTGAAACTGTCTTAAACCTAATCGGACCAGTGGTCCTTCTATCTTAGTATTGTCATTTGAAAGGCCGTGGTTTTCCAGTGTTTCAAGCAGGTGTAGCCAGTTCCAGCCCCACCTGAAGAAACTAGAGTGAAATATACTTGGAGTCGAGAGTGGATTTCATGCTCTTTATTCAGCTCATAGTGGTGAGGAGGAATGGAAGTTCCCCCAAAGTATCTGTTTTATATACATTATTTACACAATGGGCTGCATGTGATTGGCTAATTCCGGGATTCTCCTGTAGGCCAATCGGGTTGTGGATTCACTTCCATCTGGAGCTGGATTGGGTGACTCCTGCAGACCAATCATACTGCTGCATTCTGAATCCTATTGTTCTAAGACCAATCAGACTGCTGCATTTTGGATCCTATTCAACTCATTACATAACACCAAGACTGAACCCGGGACCTTTTGCATGCAGCTCACATGGTCTACCACTGAGCTACAGCCCTTCCTTGTACAGTACAGTGGACACTTGGGTTGCGAACGTGATCTGTGCGGGAGGCACGTTCGCAACCCGCAGCGTCCGCAACCCACAGCGCCGCGTCTGCACACGCGTGGGTTGTGATTCAGTGCTTCTGCGCATGTGCAAAGCGCGATTTAGTGTTTATGCTCATGCGCGAGTGCCAAAACCCAGAAGTAACCCATTCTGGTACTTCTGGGTTTCGGAGCATCCGTAACCCGAAAACGCACAACCTGAAGGGTCTGTAACCTGAGGTATGTCTGTATCTCTTTTCCAAGACGGAGCTCAGAAAAGCAGGTCTGTTTCTTGCACATTTCACATGCAATGATCTCTACTGTTCTTTACAGATTCAACTTCCCCCTCCTTAATTCTGTATGCTTGGAGGGACGCAACTAATTCACCAAATGAAAGCAATGGAAAAGAGAGAGATGGAGAGAGAATCGACTGGAGTGGGTGTGATGGTTGCCTCTGGCAACACACGTGCCTGCCTATGAACTGCAGGCATGATGTACTCTGCCTTCTTCTCTGCGTGGGTAGGGTTGCAGCTTGCATTGATGAGGTACCATCTGCTAGTGGGGATGTAGAGCAGTGCAACACGCCTTTTCCTAACTCCAGTAGAACTATAGATATGGCTTTATTTGCTGATGCTTTCAAAAGCACATGGGTCTCTGATGCCTGCCTTGGTCTGCTTGCCCTTTTTCATTGTCCTAGCAGAATTACCACTCAGCTTCCTTGGAGACTGCCTTCTAAGCTATTTATTGCAGCTGACTTGTATGTGAACACACAGTACTGATGCTGCTGCCCATGTCCTCCCTTAACCTGCAAGGGAGTGAGCTGCAATATCTAGCTGTGTGCATTTCCTCAGTAGCTGCACGTATTTCCTCAGTAGTTTGTTTGGCATTTGTGGGCTTTGGTTTGAGCTTGTCCATTTTTGCTGTAAACAAACAAACAAATATAATAATAATAATAATAATAATAATAATAATAATAATAATAGAATTTACAGTGGTACCTCGCAAGACGAATGCCTCGCAAGACGGAAAACCCGCAAGACGAAAGGGTTTTTGGTTTTTTGAGTTGCTTCGCAAGACGATTTTCCCTATGGGCTTGCTTCGCAAGACAGAAACATCTTGCAAGTTTGTTTCCTTTTTCTTAAAACCGTTAATACAGTTGCGACTTGACTTCGAGGAGCAACTCATAGAACGCGGTGTGGTAGCCTTTTTTGAGGTTTTTGAAGACTTTGGTGATTTTTGAAGCTTTTCCAAAACTTTTCCAACACCATGCTTCGCAAGACGAAAAAAATTGCAAGACGACAAAACTCGCGAAACGAATTAATTTCGTCTTGCGAGGCACCACTGTATATACTGCCCTATATCTGGGGGTCTCAGGGCGGTTCACAGAATAAAATCAAGATATAAAACCAAAATACATAATAAAAATAAAAACAATAATCCAATAGCCCTCCACCCCCAAAGAACACATTTTAAAAGGACATAGGATGTCAATCAGATCAACCAAAGAGCTGGTTAAAAAGGAACGTTTTGCCTGGCGCCTAAAGGTGCATAATGAAGGCGCCAGGCGAACTTCCCTGGGGAGAGCATTCCATAGACAGGGAGCCACTGCAGAGAAGGCCCGTTCTCGTGTTACCACCCTCCGAACCTCTCGAGGAGGAGGCACACGAAGGAGGGCCTCAGAAGATGATCTCAGGGTCCGGGGAGGTTCATATGGAAAAAGATGGTCCTTGAGGTATTGTGGTCCTTAGCCATTTAAGGCTTTAGAGGTCAAAACCACCACTTTGAATTGGGCACAGAAACAAATTGGTAGCCAGTGCAGTCGGACCAAGATCGAACCAGCACATAATGAATATGTGCTCAGTCGAAGGAACACTGTGTGGGGTGAGAGCCTATGAAAGCAGTGGCCACAAAGCCCTTCTGAGTGTAAGTAAAGGCTGGAGTGTCTGCACTACCCCAGGTGAGAGATGTGGTGGGTGCCCTTGATATTTGAAGATAGGGTTTTCTGGAACATGGTGATATTTTGTATATTGTTATTTTATTTCTGTGCTAAACGTTATTCTCTCTCCTGTTTGGTTTTAAATTTTTACAGTGCTGTATGGGCTGATTTATTTTGTATTTCCTTTTTCCCATTATGATTGTTTCTAATGGTTTCTAATACATTTATTGAACTGTTATAGTCATTGGACATTTGATATGTTGTGAGCTGCTTTGGGCGGCACAGTTTTGTGGAAGAATAGCATACAGTGTGGTGTAGTGGTTAAGAGTGATGGACTCGTAATCTGGTGAACTGGGTTTGCATCCCCGCTTCTCCACATGTGGGCTAGTCACACTTCTCTGAAGTCTCTCAGCCTCACTCACCTCACAGTGTGTTTGTTGTGGGGGAGGAAGGGAAAGGAGAATGTTAGCTGCTTTGAGACTCCTTAGGGTAGTGATAAAGCGGGATATCAAATCCAAACTCCTCCTCCTCCTCTTCTTCTTCTTCTTCTACTACTACTACTACTACAAATAAACAGATGGTGACAACGATAATGCCATACTACCACTGACTACATGATAATGCTTTGGCCACATGGTCATGTGCTGCCAGTGGGTAATTTTCAGGCCTGGGGCTGCCTGCTTGAGTGAAGGGTGGTGGGCAAGGAACATGAGATATACAGAAACTATTTTATAGTTTGCAGGTGTTGGTGCGGTGTGTAGTGTAGTAGTACACAGTGTCAGACTTTGACGGGGGTTGTCCAGGGTTGGATCTCAGCCATAAATATTGAGCAAAGTTACCTATGTTCTCTTAACCTAATGTACTGCTGCACACTATCTGGTTTTGGCTTTCCTTTGGATGAGAGAGCACTCTAGACCAAAGGTGTGTGTTATAATCCTTGCTTTCCTAAGAAATATAGTGTGTACAACTAGCAGATGGAGGAAAACAGCAGACACTTCTAGGAGGCAGCAGATCAGCTACCCAGAGAGAAACCAACATGACTCCAGAGAGGTTCCAGCCATCAGCCAAGTGCACATTCTCTCACAGTGAACACTTATCTTTCAACCATCAAATTTGTTATGTACTGAGTTGAATAGGATTCAGAATAGTTATGTACTGAGTTGAATAGGATTCAGTGGAAAACCACCTGGGCCTGGGCCTAGAATGCATGGTACAGGCAGAAAACTGTTTGCCTTCATGCTTTTTAGGCATGGGTCAAGCAACACATGAACGAGCCCTAGATGAAGAAGAAGAAGAAGAGTTTGGATTTGATACCCCGCCTTTCACTCCCCTTCAGGAGTCTCAAAGCGGCTAACATTCTCCTTTCCCTTCCTCCCCCACAACAAACACCCTGTGAGGTGAGTGGGGCTGAGAGACTTCAAAGAAGTGTGACTGGCCCAAGGTCACCCAGCAGCTGCATGTGGAGGAGTGGAGACGCGAACCCGGTTCCCCAGATTACGAGACTACCGCTCTTAACCACTGCACCACACTGGCTCTCTAGATGGGCCTTTGGTTTGATCTACTCATCTTCTTAAAAATAAAGACTGATCAATTACAAATATTCAAAGGAAGAGGAAGAAACAAGTGAGGAATTTCGTTCCAAATAAATTCAGTGTCACCCCGAACCCTGTATATGGTCAATTACTCCCAGGATGGGACCCATAGGAACCAACTCCTAGGGGCCAAGGGGTCTTTGCCCCTCCCCTGTAAAATATCTGAGGGCACCGGGCCCCTCCTAAGTTGATGGGCATTGCTATTCAAATGGTGTGCATGCAGACCTGAAACTGAAAGTGTCTTACTTAGAAGAAGAAGGAAACACTTGGACAATGCTGCACTTCCCGCTGTAGCTACCACAGAACCTGAAACAAAACTAAAATAGTATACTTTATGAATGACTCATGGATTACATATCCACAGAAAGGCATGGGAACAGAATTCTAGGAACATGAGGCAGATGAGGTGGGGACCAGATCTACCCTCTGCACTTTGGATCTTGGACACCATCAGACTGTCACTATTTTTGGATAGAATTATAGTTGATTGGAACGTATTCTGCAACAAACCCATTTCCTCAAAAGATCTGTACCTTTTGCGATAAGGAAAGTGAAATTGATTATTTCTATTATTTGTTAAATTTGTATACCGCCCTATACCCGCAGGTCTCAGGGCGGTTCACAGGATAAAATCACAATATAAAAACACAAAATACATAAAATCAAAACAATAACAACCCAATAACCCCCCAAAACATTTTAAGTTATAGGATAGCACTTGCCTATAACTTCTGACAGAGTTGGAAACTCTTGTCTTCAGTGTCTTGAGAGATGGTTATAGTTATAGTTCAATGATATTGGTTAATATAGGTTAATGTTATAGATAGTAAAGGAGTTTATAGTAATGGAGGAAATTTCTCTAGGAAATTTAGCAAAAATCATAAAAGCTATCTTAATCTGCATCCAGCTGTTGACTATGTAACACCTGGGGTGTCTTTTGGTCTAAGGGAGTTACCCGCGTCCCCAAAGGAGATCAGAGCAGTGTATATTCTCTATAGATTCTCCTCCCGTGTGCCTTTCTGAGATCTGACTGGGTGTTTTTGGCAGATGCCTATTTTTAGGCAAAGTTATTTGGAAGAGAGCTTGCTTGCTTACTTGCTTGCTTGCTTGTTGCCATAGATGACTTGATAACTGAGAATGAGAGGCTCTGATGGAACTGCAGAGGGGATGAACAGAATACAACGCAAATGGACCCTAGTTAATTATTCTGCTTTGGATTCTCCATCTCAACAAATGAAGAGATTGTTCACTAATTAGACAATCCTAGCATCTTTCCTGTATCCTTTCTAAGATGCATTTGAATATTCTGTGTGATTTAGTCAGAAATATTAAGGCTGTGCTGCAAGCACAAGATTAATCTTCTATATGTAGCATTTGGAAACAGCCCAATCCATGTCAGGCCTATTGTGTAATGCTCTGATTTTATTTGTTATTTGGGTCCAAGTATGATAAGTTAAATCAAAAGTTCTGTTTTGCCCTCATTGACTATAATGAGGAATCTAAAAAATAAACTTTGCTGGAATTTGCTGTCAAGGCAGGCTTTCTAGAGTAGATTAAACCTGCTTGCTAAATTCCAGCCAGATTTATCAAGGGTTTATTTGTGCAGGAAACTTTCAAAGTGTGTTTGTTGTTGTTTTTTTGCTCGAATTTGATGCTAATTGCAGGCATAGCCAACCCTTCTGAGAGGATGAAGCCTCTTATACTTTGGAAAGATAGACAGGTCTCCCTCAGTGACAGACTTTACCATGGGGGGTGAAGGGGTGGGCATAGGACATGTTGAATTTTTAAACGCTCAAATTCCAAAAATGTTGGGTTCTAAAAAGTTGGGAACTCAAAAGCTATTTTGGTTAAATTAATATGAATTTGTTTTGCTTGCTAAATGAAATGTGTAAATGAAATGTATGTAAAATGTGTGTAAAATTGCATAGAAATAATTAAAAATGATTGCCGAGTACTTGCAATTTTATTATGTATTATTTCCTATTATTAGTATTATTATTATTATTTAGAATCTCCTGATATTTTCAGAAGGTAAACTTAAAATTATTTGGTTTTCCTAAAGCAGTTTATGTGCTTCTTCATCGGACATAGACTTACAAAGCTACATGTTGTCCAATCACAAAAAGAATAGCAGATTTGAATTCCTCACACCCCAAAACATATTTTTAAAGACCTCACATGGAATAAATTTGTAAAAATTAAGTTTTGCTCTGAAAATGACATGCGCTAGTGGGGCAGTGAGCATTCTGTGTGATGCTCTGTCAGTATGTTGGACACAACATCCAGCAACATGCTACCATGTTATTCCCTGGGAGCAGCAGGGGCTGCGAAATCAAAACGAGTAAGGCTGACTAAACATTGTTGCAGAAGGATGGCAGGCAGAATTGCCATTGTTGATAACATCCCCATGTGAAATCTAGACCCTCTAATAAAAGCTTGAGGCCTAATCTGCAGAGCCATACCGAAAACAGAACCTCTAGTATATTGCGTGCTCTGTGTGTGTGTGTTCTCATACCTTATTTTATTCCCGGAAATGTTGCAGACACCTTGGCTCCACATGCTTTATTTTTGATGCTTTTTTGTCTGGCAGCTTTAAGTATATAGCACACAGTGCTGAGTCTGAGTGAATTTCAAAACGGTGTGCTTCCAAAGGCACAGCTTTTTGAGCTCCAGTTCTGGAGATGAGTATATACTCTGTGGGCTGTTTCACACATAATGTATTTTTAAACATAGATAATATGTTTCCAGAACAGTTTCCTGCATGCAGGCACATCTAACCTTAGCTAGTTCCCAGGTCCAGATTAATGGTGTAGAAAACTCAACAGAATGGATTCAAAGAAGATGCTTTCTGAAGCACCACTTTAGCTAATGGGGCCTCCTGCTGCTGCCGCGCCACCGAAGCACAATTTCTGTTCTCATCCTGAAGCAAAGTTCTTAACCCGAGGTACTATTTCTGGGTTAGCGGAGTGTAACCTGAAGTGTATGTAACCTGAAGCCTATGTAACCAGAGGTACCACTGTACTGAACTTAGATACTATGATAAGTAAACTTGTGTATTCTGATCTGGGGAGATTCTGTCAAAAGCATGTGGTACCGGCCACAGGTACAGTGCAGGATGCTATCAGATCGCTAGTGCCGAAGTAACATCCACCTGGCTCCTCCTGTATGTGGAATGGAAAAGGGAGATGCCTTATTGTCCCTTTGCCTCGGGCAGCAAAATGTATTGGGGTGGCCCTGTGTTCCCAGCTTTTCACAGTGGTGTGACAAATACGATTTGGTTCTCTGGGCTAAACCTCAGTCAAGGAAAGCGAGCGCAGGCAAGTGGCTCGGGTGACTTTTGGGTCCCCGCAATAATAAAGCTGGAGCAAACATGTGCCCATTTAGTCTAGTTTCACCAAGTCCCCTTTCCCCTCTGTGCCAGGATGGAGAAGAGGTCAGGAGTCTCCAAATTACTTTGAGCGTTATTTGCCACCAAGACATTTTGGCAACTGAGGCGAACCACAAAATGGCAGGGACCTCCCCACCAGGGAAAAAGGGGTAGATGAAGATCTATACCAGGAACGAGGGGGAGAATCAAATCAACCTTGCCCAACCGTTAAAGGTAGGAATCGAAGGCCACCATGTGCAGGGAAGGGGCCCAATCTAAACATCGCCATGTGGGTGTAGAGCCCGGGAGACCCCACAGGGCAGCTCCCATTTCCTTCCTGGGAGTGGGAGACCAGCAGCACCTCCGATTTGCCCGGAGGCCACAGTAGAGATAGCATTGGTAGAGCTCCCAAGCAGGCAGCAGATCCGGCCTCCAAAGAATGCGCCGCTGCAGCCATCACTGGTACCACAGCAAAGGGTGATACGTCCCTTGAAGGCTAGATCTGTGGATTCTGCCACCTGAGGCAGTTGCCTCACTTGCCTCATGGGTGGGCTGGCTCCATTTGCCACAATAGCAGTCTTGAGACACTGACAGATTCTGGCACAAGCCTTTGCGGATACGCACCCTCTGATGCAAATAGGGACATCCCATTCCATCACGATAATTTTACTATTTATACCCCACACATCTTCCTGGGTTACTCCAGTCACTCTGGGCAGCTTACAACATACAGTGGATGCTCGGGTTGCAAACGTGATCCGTGCGGGAGGCACATTCGCAACCCGCAGTGCTGTGTCTGCGCACGCACGGGTTGCGATTCAGCACTTCTGTGCATGTGCAAAGTGTGATTTAGCGCTTCTGCACATGCACATGCGCTGGAAGTAACCTGTTCCGGTACTTCCAGGTTCGGCGCAGTGCGCAACCCGAAAACACGCAACCCGAAGCGTCTGCAACCCAAGGTATGACTGTATATAAAAACATAATAAAACATTTTATTAAAAACTTCCTTATGCAAGATTGTCTTCAGATGGCTGCGGTGGAGGTCGGACAACTCCATACCCTCTAATATTTCTCCAATGAAAATAGGAACATCCTAAGGAAAAGTGGGACATTTCGGGATCAAATCAGAAACCAGATGGCTCTCTAAATCAGGGACTTCCCTGGAAAATAGGGACACTTGGAGGGTCTGCAGACACTCTTGGGCTCATGGGGAGTCATCCTGAGGTATATATGATATATAGGTATAAATCACACATGGTGAGAGAGGGGGTTGTGGAAGGCAGTTTGTTTTCAAGGGGGGAACTGTGTGTGTGTAAACTGAAACAACGTCTTGACGTTTCCGGGCAGTTCTTAAGTGTTGGTGGAGGGGGAGAAGAGGAACACCTTCAGCTTCCCGCGGCTTCTAGGACATTCTGAGGTGAGGCAGCGTCGGGAAGCTTCTCAAGCCTCCAACCGTCGCGGAGGGGGAGGGCGCAATTCTGCCCCTCCTCATTAGTTCGATGAAGGATGGGAGGGGCAAAGCAAAGAAAATGCGAGAAGCCCCGCCCTTGCTTCTCGGTTGTTCTCCGTAACGAGGGCGACGGCGTCACCGCGCCAAGCTGCAGCGTTTCCCTCCTCCTCGCGGGGACTTCTGCGCTAGCGCACGCGCAGTCTCCCGCGAGGCGGGGGTAAGGGAAGAAGACAGAGCCCCTCGCATATCAACTCGGCGAGTTTCCATGTGGGAAGGTGAAGAGAGGCGCGGCTAGCGCATGCGCGCCTTGCCGCATCTCCCCCCTCCCAAGCTTGGCTCCTCCCCTTTCCCCCCTCGCGCGGGAGGCGAAACCCCGCCTGCTCCCCGCCCCGCGCGTTCTCTGTCAGTGAAGGTTCCCGATGGTTCTGGAAAGAGGCGGCGGCGAGGCTATATAAGGCGAGCGTGAGGCGGGGGCGCCGCGCAGTGCAGCTCGAGAGGAGGTAGCGGGAGAGCGAGCTCTCTGAGAGGAAGCGTTCTCAAGCAGCCTGGTAATCCAACAGCCGCCAAGGTGAGGAGGCCGCTCGGTAGGGGGACGGCAGTTGGCGGTGTCTGTTGCCCCTCACTGACGCCCGTCGCGATAGCCACAGAAGTGGCATGGGAAAAGTGACGGGGCGGAATTGCCGGTGCTTTGAGGTGCCGCGCGGTGATGGGGAAGGGGAGAAGGACGGAGGAGAGAAGTGGCGCGGCCGGCAGCGTGAAGGACGGAGTTGGAGGCGGTCGAAGAGATTTTTTGGGGGGGGGGAGGTTTAGAAGGTACAAGCGGGGAAAGATGTCTCTTCCCCACACATAAACACCTCAGCGAAGCAAATGGGCCGCGTGTCTCTTATTCCCGCTCTCGCCGCTCATTCTACGTACAATAAATAGTCGGCGTTTTTTGCAGGGAAGAATAAATAGGCAGGGTTGCTCGGGGCTAACGGGCATCATAACGGAGCCGATAAGCGGGAGCTCGGCGCGGAAGGCGGTTACGTCGAAGGAGCGGGCGGGTGTTCTCGGCGAGAGCGGGCTCGATTGTCCAGTACTTGGGGGGGGGGGAGGAGGGGAAGATGGAAGCGGCGCTCGCGGGGGCGGCGGTGGTGGTGATGGGGAGGCGGATGCGAGTTGGGGTGCGGGAGGGGGGGGACGTCTTCTGCCGTGGCGGCGCGTGCACGTTAAGTCTATGGCAGCGGCGCGGTCGAGAGGATTGGCTTGTCAAAGCGCTGGTGAAGGGAGGGGTTTGAAAGGGCAAAAAAAGAGGGTGGGCGGGAAGGCTCTAGCAGTTTCTAGAAGGATTTAGTGTGTTCCGCGTCGAGGCCGGCAGGGGGCGCAGGGACTGGCGTCTTGGGAGAGCCAGTGGAGTGTCCCTCTTTCATTCGGTTCCTTTCGCCGTTGGTCGTTTCGCTAGGCAGGTGCTGTTGAGTTGCAGGTGCTGTTGAGCCCCCCCCCCCCCGAGTTTCAGGTTTAAATGGTTCATGTTACAGTAGCAAAAAACCACAGCAAGACCATCTTTAAGCCTTCTTCACAATAAGATTGATTTGTCATTGCTCCATGCAATGTGTATTGAGAGTCTGGGCTGGTGATTGATTACATAGGGTGCTGCTGCTAGAATTACTCCCAGGAGAGCAGACTGTTGGGAAATACTGCATCATTAAATGAGTTCTATTATCTATCTTGTAAGCAACTTTATAACAGGAAAAATTTGCATGGCAAGCTGCTTTCAGAAATTCTTGATCTGTGAAACATTACTTTGGGAACTGTTATTGATGAACTACAATTGTCTAGTATGTACAATATTTGAGATTAAGTTAAAACTGACTCCCCACTAAAGTAAACTTTAAACACAATTTTCCTACATAGATAACAGATACTTAGGACCCTAGTTAGGATGCTTAAAACATGCAATTGGTAATTCAGTGGCTACATTCAGTGACCTGTGCTTTAAAATTTTTTTCTTTACTATTGGTAGATGCCAGAGGAAGTACATACACAAGATCAGCCAATGGAGGAGGATGTGGAGACCTTTGCCTTCCAGGCAGAGATAGCTCAGTTGATGTCCCTGATCATCAACACTTTCTATTCCAATAAGGAAATCTTCCTCAGGGAGCTTATCTCTAATTCATCTGATGTAAGTAAATCTTCCAAGGGGTAGAAAACAAATAATTGGCTTATGTTAAGGTTTCCTAAACACTAAAAAGGCTACCTTGTGTTCTACAGGCTCTGGATAAAATCAGATATGAGAGTTTGACTGACCCAAGCAAACTGGATTCTGGAAAGGACCTGAAGATCAACCTTATTCCTAACAAGCATGATCGTACCCTGACCATTGTGGATACTGGCATTGGAATGACCAAAGCCGATCTGGTGAATAATCTGGGAACCATCGCCAAGTCAGGCACCAAAGCCTTCATGGAGGCTTTGCAAGCTGGTGCAGATATCTCCATGATTGGTCAATTTGGTGTTGGTTTCTACTCCGCATATCTGGTTGCTGAGAAAGTAACCGTGATCACCAAGCACAATGATGATGAACAGTATGCTTGGGAGTCTTCAGCTGGTGGATCATTTACTGTCCGGCTGGACAATGGTAAGAAATGTTAATGTTCTCCTTAGTAAATTGCTATGATTCTAAGAAAAACTAGAGCTCTGGTACAAAACTAGATCAGTAATTGTACTGAGCCAACATATTATGCACATTAAAACATTACATTTTCTAAAGCTGGCTGTTTGGAATTGTTACTTAGCAGTCAAATACTCAAAATAGCTTTTGTGGCAGTGGCAGTTAACTTCTGTAACTCTGTGTTGCAGGTGAGCCTTTAGGCCGTGGTACAAAGGTTATTCTACATTTGAAGGAAGATCAAACGGAATACATTGAAGAGAGACGAATTAAAGAAATAGTCAAGAAGCATTCTCAGTTTATTGGATATCCAATAACACTTTTTGTAAGTGACTTTGTTTCCAGAGCCATTATATTGTGTACCAGATACAAAAATCATAGTTCTTAATTCTCCTTGAACTACCAAGCAGTTCACTTATGTGTGTCAAAAATAGCAAGGGAAGCAAAATTTTCAGTGCA